GGAACTAGAGGGTATTATGGTAAGCTAAATTAGTTAGAGAAAGACAAATATCAACGATTTCAGTCATATGAGGACTTTATGGTAAAAAACAGATGAACATAAAGGAAGGGAAGCAAAAATAATATAAAACAGGGAGGGTAACAAAAATATAAGAGACTCTTAAATATGGAGAACAGAGGGTTACTAGAGGGATTGTTGGGGGGGGTGGGCTAAATGGGTGAGGGCATTTTAAGGAATCTACTCTTGAAATCATCGTTGCACTATATGAGAACTTGGATATAAATTAATAAGTAAATAAATTTTTTTAAAAAAAGAACACCTTGAAAACTAAATGAGCAAAGACAAAAGGTTTCCTCACCCTCTAGACTTGAAAATCCTTGAATGGGGAAAAGAAGAGTCAAAGGAATGATGGATTTAGACATTGTTTTTACAAGAGAACACAGGCAATCTGCATCTCACTTCCGGGGTACAGACTCAGGGAGGTAGGAAGATCCCACAGAACTGTTTGGATAATGTAAGGGGCAAGTGAGATATTATCCTCAGAATTTTCCAAGCCCTATTCAGGCCCAGCAAAGCTGAGACAAGGGGAAGTCTCACAGAATTCTCCATATCTTCATGAAGTTTGGGGACCACAGAAAGATTACAGTTTTGTCATTAGCATGGAAATTATAAGAAGAGTTGTTTTACCAGCTAATACCTTGTGGATGCAAATGATGAATGTGCAGCAACCTATGATGACCAACTAACTTCAAAATCAAAATCTGCAAATGCCACCATCATGGAAAGATGATGTCTAGTACAAGCCACTACCCCCATCCAAGAATTAGCAGAGGTAAGATAAAAAGAAAAAGAAAGAAACCCCTAACTAAGATTAAAATTTCAGTCACCTGGACAAAATAGAAGCTCAAGACAGAAAAAGTGAGTTTCAAAGTATAAAAGAACAAAAAGTATATCCCTTGAACAGGAGACATTGTAGACTGAGATGTTCTTCTATAGTCTGCTGTAAGCAGGGAGATTATCATGGGAAGGGGGAAGCATTTTATGTTTTCTTTAGATGAATTATACCGAATAAATATTGGATTTGATAATATGCCCTACAGATAGGCTACCAGAGTATAAGACTTCAAATCACTACTATTCAAGAGACGATAGACCAAGCTCTTCAGAGGACTTCTGTAACAATATCACTAATAAACTGAATTATCAAACACATTTATTAAGTTTCTCAAGCTGATCTGCAAGTAATAAACTATCTTAGGGCAAGCCCAAACAATTGGTAACACTAAACAAAATGAGTAAAATTTACTCATTCTGCAACTATTTAAATAAATACAGTAAGAGTACCACCAGAATTCATTTTTCACACTGAGAAAAGTGTTAATCTGAGGTATTAACAAGGTGGAAGCAGATATTGTCACAGTGTGTGTATAAATGTGTGTGCATTTTAAAAATTGTATTTCTTTTTTAGATTCAATTTAGTTAACATATAATGTAGTTCTGGTTTCAAGTATAGAATTTAATGATTCATTTCTTACATATAACACACACTGCTCATCCCAGCAAGTGTTCTCCTTAATGCTCATCACCCATTTAGCCCATCCCCCTCACCCACCTCCCTTCCATCAACCCTCAGTTTGTTGTCGATAGTTAAGATTTTCTTATAGTTTGCCTCTCTCTCTGTTTTTATCTTATTTTATTTTTCCTTCCCTTTCCCTATGTTCATCTGTTTTGTTTCTTAAATTCCACATGAGTGAAAGCATATATTTGTCTTTCTCTGATTGACTTATTTTGCTTAGCTTAATATACTCTAGTTCCGTCCATATTGCTGCAAATGACAAGATTAAATTCTTTTTCATTGTCTAGTAATCTTCCATTGCACATTTTGTTTAACCATTCATCAGTTGATGGACATTTGGGCTATTTCCATAATTGGTTATTATTTATAGTAAAAAAAATATTTCTAATTTTTATAAAATGACCACATACCTAGTCCTCTAATTTTCAGAAAATTAGAAAGTATATGTTTTAAAGTAAATACAAGACTCTTAATTACCTCTTTAATATATTCTTAGAAATTTAACAGCACATTGTCTGATTAAACGTGTACTAATACCCAGATCTACAGAGTTGCAATTAATCCCAGCAATTCAGGCAAGGACCTTACTTTAGGGTGAATATTCAAAACTCAACCAAATAGTTACAGCAATTGTGGCACAATAGGACCTCTGCACTTCCATATTCTGATCCATAAAATGGGGACAAATTGCTGCACAGCCTAACATTTGCAAAAACAACCAGCACAGTGTCTGATAATTAATAAGCCCACAAAAATATTTGCTGAATTAGCTACCACTGACTTCACTTCTTCTGGCCTTTAGAAGAATTTATCAATGAAACCTTCCCAGGAGAATAGTCACCTATCTCATTATGGTACTGTAGTACTCTTCTGAAGGTAAAACAGACCTTCAGTAATGTCACTCAGTGTAAGCTGTCCCTGAACCATTTCCCATTTTTACTGCAGTATTTGTATTAATAAATGCAATCTGGTAAATACATAAGAATTCTGATACATTGCAGTTCTTCTCTCACTTGAAAAAAATATTCCTAGCATGAAGTGAGTCCACTTTGCCTCCTTGATGTCAACCCTCTAGGTGTTAATGACTTACCATCACTCTTAAAATAATATCCAAGAACTTTACTGTGGTCTATCAGGCTTTTCATTATTTGCCTCTGCCTAACTCTTAACATTGTTTCCTACAACTCTCCCCATCCATCCATTGCATTTCTTGCTGACCCTTGAAGACATCAAATATAAGCCTATGCACTTGTCTCAATAAGTACATACTGCCCTGAAACCCATACAGCTTGCTCCCTCACATCATTCAGATTTCTGTTTAAATATCACCTCCACAGACAAAATTTCCTTAACTACCCATTCTAAAGTAGCATGTTCTGTTATTCTCTATCCCCTTAATTTGCTTTTCTTCCTCCCCATAGCAATTCAAATATATACTTATTCATCTGTTGTGACATAAGCTCAATGGGAATTGAGACTTCATCTCATTAACTTTTGTATATCCAGAGCCTAGAACACTTCCTGGCATAAAGTGACACATTATTATTATTCACAGTGAATCTGTTCATTAACTAAGTGGGATTATTTCAATATTCAAGACAGCTTCCTAGGGGCACCTGGGTGGTTCAGTTGGTTAATCCTCCAACTTCAGCTCAGGTAATGATCTTACAGTTCATGGGTTCAGGTCCTGCATCAGGCTGTGTGCTGACAGCTTAAAGCCTGGAGCCTGCTTCAGATTCTGTGTCTCCCTCTTTCTCTGCCCCTCCTCTGCTTGTACTCTCTCTCCTTCCCTTAAAAATAAACATTAAAAATTTTTTTTTAAAAAATAAAGAAGGCTTTCTTACAAATGACAATGGAATGAGGAATACAAAGACCAGTGATAGCTATATCTATATCTACATAATATCTATATCTATATATATATCTATATAAACTTAGAATACCTACAGATGCCAAAGGTAAAAGTCTGGAGGAACTGGATTAGCACTAGAATTAGAGAGATTTTTACTAGCTGGAGGATGATCATCAGGATGGATGCAAAAGGAAGAAAGCCAGGCCACAGTTGGTTGAGGCCTAAGCCAAAAGGAGAAAAATCTTTTTTTAATCTCACCCATTCTCTCTCATCTTCCTTCTTCTAACATTTCCTCTCTCAGTGTCTACCCACTTTTGCCATCTCTTCACCATCTCTACCTCCTCCACTTTTGCTTCCTCTGTCATAAACTATTTTGTAGATTACATCCAAAGAGGTTGTTTTGGGTATAATCATTTGTAGATTATACCTAAAGAGTTTTTTTTTCCCCTGTGAATCAGTAGCCTCAGCAGAAGAAAAGTTCTCTAATGAGAAACTGTAAGGAATACATTTTGTACTCCTTTAAATGCCAAGGAGTACACCAACATCATTATTAGTAGTATCAAGTACTCATCATGAAGGCAACAGAATGAGACAAAGAATCATGAAGCCATTCCTTTTCACAAACTCATACATCAAGAACTGAATACTTTATGACTTCATCTGTTTAATATTTTTGTCTTCCTTCTCCAGAATATGTCTTTAAAATACAATCAACATTCATTTTATCTTTATTGAAGTATAATTGACATAGAAAAATTGTAAATATTTAATATATACATTGTGATAAGTTTGGACATATGTATACACACCTGATACTATCACCACTATCAAGATACTATAAACAGGGGCGCCTGGATGGCTCAGTCAGTTAAGCGTCCGACTTCGGCTCAGTTCATGACCTCATGGTTCATGGCTTCGAGCCCCGTGTCAGGCTCTGTGCTGACAGCTAGCTCAGAGCCTGGAGCCTGTTTCAAATTCTGTATCTCCCTCTCTTTCTGACCCTCCCCTGCTCATGCTGTCTTACTCTCAGAAATAAAATTTTATAAACCATTTTTTAAAAAAGAAAAATTTGAAAATAAAAAATACTATAAACATATCTATTATCTCCAAAACTTTCCTAGTGTTCTCTTGTGTCTTTGTTTTTGTTATGTCCTAAGAACACTTAACAGGAGATCTATCCTCTTAACATATTTTAAAGTACAAATATCATATTGTTAACTATAGCCACCAGGTTACAAAAAAAAATATCTTTGATTTTTATCCTCACACTCCATTAAAAAATTCATGATATATCCACCAAAATATATTTGCTAAAATCCTAAGCCAGACATTACCTTTTTTTATTAAATGGATCCTGATGCCTATTAAAGTTTAAAAACAATGAAAACTGACAAACAGTACCATCAGGCTTATAAATGATTGTGTATCCCCACCCCTCACCAAATGACAATGGCATTCAAACTGGACTCTTTGAAGAATAATCTCTAACACATTAGCAGGAGCCAACATAATAGCATCTATTATTTCAGCCAAATGTTTCCCAAAATATCATATCCCAAAAAGTCAACTTACTCTTTTGGAAATCCTCCCACAAGAGGTTACAGGTAGAACATGATCTCCGTAATTCAAAATGAGTCCTGAAAAAGTAAAGTTTAAATCAGAATTTCAGGAGAAATTCATAGTGAAGTTCATGTTTTGCCCATTAATCCTAGAGAGTAAAGAAAATCCAAATAAGAAGAACTGGGCTTATTTTTTAACATCAGGTATATTTACAAATGACAAGGCATTAAAATTTATAAACTACGTGATGACCTACTTACAGCTAATGAATATACTTAATAACAAAAAGATACCAAGTCTTAAATGATTTATTCCATTACTTTGGTAACTATGCTTAAATTAACTCCAATTATAACCATAATTTCAAGACTGAAGAGAAAAAAAGTTAATTCTACAAATTAAAAATCAAAAGCCTAGAACATTATTCTCTACACCTTTCCTTGTTTCATCTTTTCAATTCCCCACACCCACACTCCCTGTCTCTGTCATTGCACATTCAAGTATAGGATACTATCAGATCGGATAGGGTTTACATAAACTATGAGTAGCTACCAGTGTGGCTTTATTACCTGCTTTTCTTAGTTTCCAGACCAAGGATGCTATTACCAATGCAAAAAGGTGGTCATATATATATACATATCTCCCCATTCCTTACCAAAGTTGTGCCTTCACTGACATATATTCAGTACAAAAAAAATGACAAGTGCAAAATATAAGAAATGCTTGTCTTGTCTGTATTGATACCACAACATATTTACCGACCACGAAGGGAGAGGTCCAAATTTAGCTTATTTAGCAGCCTAATCTAGATTAAAACAAAATACAAGTCCTGAAAGCATTCTTATTGTCAAATAACTCATAACTTATATAAAACGTTATGTATTTACAAGATAAAAATCTAGAGTCATAGTAGTAGCAACAAAATATTCTTTTTCCCATTCTCACTAAGTTGGTGTTAACTTAATGAAATGTGACAGCGCTATCAATGTAGTATAATAAACATGAAAAGGTGCCCATGTACAAAGAAAATGTAAAAATTCTTACTGACAACAGCAAAAACAAGAATAGTGTCTCTTTTCCTTTCACATGACCTTTTTGTTAACTTGAGAGCTTGTGACTTTGTTATCTATTTATGATAGTAAGAATAATATTGGTTGCAATGTATCTAGATAGAAGCTTCAAATATAACTAAATAAAATTATATTTCTGTGTCCCATAAAAGATCTATCATACAGGACCCAGTTCTCAATTCCCTATATTAGAAGCTGCAATAAATGCAGCTAAGCAAGAAAAAAATATCTAAATAAGTCTCAGAAGTAGCATATGGAGACATTACATCTTAGTTGAAATCTCAAGTCTTACATTATCTAAAGATTTAAATCACCTTTAAAAGAGAATTTATTAAAATTCTAAACTCATATTGTATATCTTTTTTGTAAGTGGCTGTATATTCCTAGTAACATGTTTGTATCGTGATGTTACCCACATAAAAAAAGACATCTGCATGGAATATTTCCCTCATTAGATATTATCATGTTAGCATATTTTTTCCTATTTCTGATTTTACTACAAAATAAAATGAGCTGATTTTTACCCTTAAGTTTCTCTCCATATATTGCCAATAATGCAAATACTTTAATTGCACATTAGAAGAATCTCATTTTCCTCTAAAAATTGCTATAGAAATTAGCCCAAAGAGACCTCAAAACACATATAAAAATCAAGATATGACTAAGTCAAATTAGCATACCAGCTACCACTTACACAAAATGTTACTTTAAACATTACTTTCAAATCAAAAGCTATCTTTAGAAAATCCCAGGAAAGATCACATGGATCATTATAATGTTATTTGACCTCTTCCTAAATTAGTGCCAAACTGAATCAATTAGGAAAGAATCAATTAGCCAAAAACTATATATTAATCAACCTACTTAACAACTTGCCAAACTGTATATTCAAAAAGCAATTCATTCTTTTGTCAGAGGTCATATTTGGGGCTAGTGGGAGTATTAATTGACACTTTTTTGGAAAGCAACTTGGGTTAATATATATCAAACGTTAATGTTAATTCTCTTTGATCAGTAATTCTACTCATAAGAATTATCCTAAAGAAATACTAAGAAATGCACATAAACTTTATATATATAAAGATATTCATACTAACTTAGTGGAGCAAGTAAAAAACACAAACTTTAAAAAGAACTTAGTTTAGGAGCATCTGGGTGGTTCAGTCAGTTAGGCATCTGACTTTGGCTCAGGTCATGATATCACAGTCCATGGGTTCGAGCCCCGCATCAGGCTCTGTGCTGACAGCTCAGAGTCTGGAGCCTCCTTCAGATTCTGTGTCTCCCTCTCTCTGCCCCTTCCCCACTTGCACTCTGTCTCTCTCTCAAATATATATAAAATATTTCTTAAAATTTTTTTAAAAGAACTTAGTTTAAAAAATGAATACTGTAGAGCCATTTAAATCACAATCATGAATAAAATGTAATGACCTAATAAAATTCCCAGCACATACACATAAAACACACCAAAATATTTACAGTGATTTCCTTTAGTTGGTACAATTATAGGTTATTTTTTATACATCTTTTTTCACATTTTTAGTCGCTAATATTGCTATTCAAGAATATTTGGGAGCACCTGACTGGCCCATTTGGTACAGCATGAGACTCTTAATCTTGGGGTCATGAGTTAAATTCCCACACTGGTCACAGAGCTTATAAAAAATGTTTTTTAATATTCTACAATTGAACTATTATAAACAAATGGTGTTTGTCAAAAGCATTTTACTAAGTGACACTCATAAAATATATTTCACACAAACAGTGAATAAAGGACTGCTGGTCATAAGTAGGTGACTGCCATCAGCTAGATTCTTCTGAAGCACCAAAGACCAAAGGCACCCAAGTACCTTCCCATGTTAATATCTATTAACTATCAAACTAGTAGAGCATTCATGCTAACAATTTGTATTTCCATACAGAAGTGAATCTATTTAACAATAAATTTCTCAGTAGAAGAGGCAGTTAATACAACAAAACTGAAAAAGGGCTGGGAGCAAGTATTTAGTGAGTATGTAAAAGGCAAGATGCTAAACCCTTTACAGATTCCATTCAATCCATACAACACTATAAAGTAGGTAACATTATCCCCATTTTTCAGAGGAGGGAACTGAATCTCAGAAGTTAGCAATTTATCTAAGTTTATAAAGCTAGTAAATAGTGATACTGGAATGTGAACTCAGCTTTTCTATATGGCAGAACCCCTAATGATAGCAGAGAAGGAAATTAAGCTAATAACTGTAACGATGGGATTATTCATCTTGCGTTAGAAAACAGTATTGAAAATATTTCAACTATAGGAGCGCCTGGGTGGCTCAGGCAGTCAAGTGTCTGACTCTTGATTTCAGCTCAGGTCATGATTTCAGGGTCATGGGATTAAGTCCCATGTTGACAGTGCAGAGCCTGTTTGGTATTCTCTCTCCCTCTCTCTATACTCCACCCTCATTCCTGCTTACTCGCTCTCTCTCAAAGTAAGTATATACACTTAAAAAAAACATTTCAACTATAAAGCATTAAATAATTTTGAAAAGGGAACTGATAATTTACTAAAAATTACTAGTTTTTAACGAGATTCTGCATAGTCAAGGGAAAGGCAAATAAACATTTTAACTAATGTTCAACCAGACGGTGCCAAACATTAACGGTTTCTGAATAAGAGGTTTTTATACACACTTTTTTTCTATGTTTTTTAATTTTTTTAAGTTTATTTATTTTAAGAGAAAGATAGGATGAGCAAGGAAGGGGCAGAGAGAAAGAATCCCACACAGGCTCTGCACTTCCACTGCGGGCTCAAACTCATAAACCATGAGATCATGCCGTGAGCCGAAATCAAGAGTCAGATGTCTAACTGACTGAGGCACCCAGAAGTCCCTAAAAAATACTTGTGGTACTGAACCAAACTAACCTGAGCCTGGCTGACCACATAAATAAATACAATATCTCTCTGTCACTTTCCAAAAGATACATGAACATACTCTCAAGATATAAAAAATTAAATTTACTAGGTTATAATATATAATTAATATGTTTAAACAACTGATCAATAGGTAGAAAAAAGTGCATGTCAGAGGTTGTAGGAGTAGGGATAGTTACATAAAAATGGAGTAAAGAAATTTCTCATTCAGGGTGGCATGTTTAGTCCCTATTAAAATCAATATGATGTTGATTAAGGATAAAGAAGTTGATGAAAAAATTAAGAAAATTTCCAATTAACTCTTAAAATACAATAATTAAATTTTTAATCTGAAAGTTACTTCCCTTTACATAAAATATTCCAGTGATTTCAATAGTTTTCTTATTTGGATAAGGCTATTTGAAATCATAGCTCCTAATGGCTAAAATGAGCAAATCTGAGAACTCTAGATGCTGGTGAGGATGTGGAGAAACAGGCACCCTCCTACTCTGTTGGTGGAAATGAAAACTGGTGCAGCCCCTCTGGAAAACAGTGTGGAGGTTCCTCAAAAAATTAACCACAGAACTCCCCTATGACCCAGCAAAACCACTGCTAGCAATTTACCCAAGGGATACAGGAGTGCTGATGCATAGGGGCACATGTACCCCACTGTTCATAGCAGCACTCTCAACAATAGCCAAAACATGGAAAGAGCCTAAGTGTCCATCAACGGACAAATGGATCAAGAAGATGTGGTTTATCTAGACGATGGAATACTACATGGCAATGAGAAAGAATGAAATCTGGCCATGTGTAGCAACATGGATGGACCTTGAGGGTGTTATGCTGAGCAAAATAAGTCAGGCAGAGAAGGACAGCTATATGTTTGCACATATAGGAGGATTAGGAGGAACTTAATGGAGGACTGTGGGGGAGAAGAAGGGGGGCAATGGGGGAAGAGAGGAAGGGAGGCAAACCATGAGAGACTCTTGAATGTTGAGAACAAACCGAGGACTGATAGGTATGGGGGTGAGGAGAAGGGGGTTGATGGGCATGGAGGAGGGCACTTGTGGGGATGAGCACTGGGTGTTATATGGAAACCAACTTGACAATAAAC